ACACACACACACACACACACACACACACACACACACACACACACACAGGGTCTTACAGCGATGCGGAGCAGGGTAGCCCTGACGGCGGCCCATCGGTCCAGTCGTCTGTCGATGACCAGGATGAAACCCACGGCTGATGCTGCAACGCTGCAGGGGAGAAGCACACACCGTTATCACCACTGTGTCCTTTGTACACCACATTTAAGTCGTCAGTTATTAGACAACAGGTCCAAATGAGGAGTAAGGAATGAATTCACGTGCCGCTAATTACATTTAGCAGATTTCAGCCTAATCACAGAAAATATACCTTGAAAGATGGGGATACATTTGAACATTTGCAACGTATTTGTGGGTTTAAAATTCAAAGTGCAAGCTTTCTTTACAGCAGGCCAGGTCACTGCAACTGACGCATAATAGCAAATGTAAAAATGACGTAAAAATGACAGGTACTCAGTGGTCTTCACAACAGGAGAGAATATTATTTGGGGATTAAAAAGCAATGCTGGGAGAGGTTAAAACCTTTGTAACTACTGCCAGTGAGTGTGGTACTCATCTGTCATCAGTGATGATTATTAGAGACCCTTGTGATTACCATGGTAACCTTGGCTCTGCGTTAATATGTGTGTGTGTGAAAATCTTCATTACATTTCATTCATTCCACAGGCAGCGCCATATGTAGCAACCTCATTAAGCTAGTGTGTGTGTGTGTGTGTGTGTGAATGCAGTATTTCCGGCTGAGGTCCTGCTGGGCATCTTGACATCTAAACACACAAGTATAACGAATAAAGCCCGACGCGCACAGGCACATACTGTGGGGCCAACATAGAAATACTGCTGAGTTGGTCCATCTGGGCGTCATTATCAGCCAATTTTCATCCTCACTCACAGATACATTAAGAAAACATAACACTACCCAGTGAACGCTGCGATATCAAATCCTCAATCCATCTCTACTGGAACATTTTTTTCGAACCACTTGAATGAAGCCGGCTGCAAATCTGAGGGCGATCTTTGCTATTCCAAGACAAAAAATACACACAAATCCTTAATATGCCTTTGCATCCAGCAATAATCCATTCCTCCTTCAATTTCCCTTATTCCGCTGTTGTCAGTGTTCAATCCCTGCATCCACAATCATCTGTTTGCAGCTCGCGGATGGAAAGAGGTGACCGTTCACATCCTTAAAGAGCATCTCCCTCCTCCTTTCCCTTCTCCCTCTGCTCCTCCACCACCTGCCTCCCAGCCTCGGCCAATTAAAAACAAGCCCTGCATCTTGCTGTTCCCCCACAGCCAATCAGGGCACATAGTGCAGCCGATTGGCAGCTGGGTGCCGATAGCTGGCGGAGAGAAAGGGAGGGGGGGATATGAAAGGTGATGAGCCACAAAAAAAAAAAAAACTGAGGCCGCCATGACACACACACGAACATTTGTATAGAGATGCATACATCTCCATCCTTTCTCCTCCCCTTAATTATGTGTGTGTATGCATGAGTATGCGGCACTCAGCAATAAAGGAGAGGTGAAAGAAAGGGAGGGGAGAGGGAGGAGAGGACAAAGGAGGAGAGGAGGAGGAAGGACAGAGGGAAGGAAAGAGGTGTGTATAATGATACAATTTCAATTCAATGAGCAAAACAAATTGTGTTAAATTCAACCTCAAGCCACATCTAAAACCTCTCTTTCAAGGTGAGGATTATTGCGGTATCTTAATTCTATCTAGAACTAAATTGTATTATTTTATACATATAATATTTCTTGTTTCTTTCCATTCTCAAAATATATTTCCGTGCAATCTTCCATTCTCTCCAAAATGTATTTCTTTATGTCTTTTGTGCAGTAGCTGTCCTTGCAGCAGGCCTTTGTTATCGCTCTGCTGACACCTGCTGGCTCCACGTGGTATCGCACCTTCACAAACTGGCCAGACCTTTGTTTGTTGTCAAACCAAAAGGAAGCTGCGGAGGAGGCGGCGTGCGTGTCTGTGTGTGTGTGTGTGTGTGATGCTTACCTGGGGATGCTGCTGAGGTAGCCGAGGACATTTTGGACCTCCTCTTCCTCCAGCTCGCTGAAATCTGGGAACTCTGGCAAGACGATGACGGGGTTGCCGTTCATCCCGCGGCCCCCTGGAGACACAGAGGTCATGATTCAAGATTAAAATACATGCGACATGATTTTAAATCCGTTTTCCACAAATTACTTCTGACCGACTTTCAAAAGGACAGAAACTAAAACAAAAGTGTGAAATCAGACGGGCCTCAGACACAGACACACAGACACACACACACGGCCTTCTCTTTCATTGGTGGGTCAAGTTGCAAAGCAGATCATCATGATGATGAATTATTCACATGCCGTCACTCTTCAGGCATTATCGTCACGGTAACCCAACACAGGGCCCGAACTGTGTATTTCCGTGTGCACACGTTTCTATGTGAGCAGTTGTTTGTGTCAAACTTTAAACGTGATGCTTCTTTTCATGAGAACTTTACTTTCCATGACAGGACTACTTTGGAAGAACTAGTTCAAGTACAGAATTTGTGTACTTTTCTTACTTTTTTAAAATATAAATCACAAGAAAAATAAACAGCACAACAGTAATGCATTGTTTCATTCAATTGCGTTTAAGTGTATTCAAAATGTTCGGTCTAATTGTGTTAGAATGTAGAAAAACAGTGGTCGCTAGAGTTGCAGTTAATTAGTTCAATTTTGGTAAACGAGAATCTCTCACAAGCTAATTAACACTAAGCCTGATGGTACAATAACACGAGAATGGTGTGTGTGCGCGGGTGTGTGTGTAACGGCCGGGAGAGACAGGAATCAAACCAACCTGGCCGGATGGCAAACTGTTTCTGGAGTTCAGAGCCGATTTCTGCTGCACACAGGGGACCATCCTCGCTCTGCAGAATGCCGTCTGAGGAGAAAGACCCGAAACACATCGTTATTGTCCCCCTGTAGAACCGGCGGACGAAGTTATCAGCTCTTTGCGATTAAGAACAGCCGATTGCATTTGGATGAGGTCGGCTGAAACGTTACAAATGTTACAAACGGGATCCGGCGACAAAGACAAAGAAGAAACTGTGGGGAGCGTCGTGGCAGTTTAACCACCTTCAGATATGGCACCAATAATTCAGTGTGACCCATCTTTATAGCCAACAGCTGAGGTGTGTATGAAGTGTACATATAAACTTGTTGGCTAGCTGTTATATGTGTATAGACACTTCAGATGACACAAAGAGAAGAGACCAGGAAGTGCAAGGAGGAGAGCTTCCAAAGAGGAGAAAGGGAAGGAGAGGGGAGAAAGCAAGGTAAGATTTCCTCCTCTCTCCGGCCAAGCTGGATTACAGTAATCTCATTTAGCCCTCCGAGACATGTAGACACAGAGACATACAGAGATAAAAACAATGTTCTCCACCACCCATTCGGCTGCCATGTGTGACCAATGTATGCCAAAAACACAAGGGAGGGAATTGTGTACAATCGTGTGTGCGTCTGTGAATGAAAACTGTGATGTTTCTGTCATGTCAGTGTGTGCGTAGTGCATATGTGTGTGCGCGCGCTCGGCAGTATGGACAAAGGCTGGCGCTGAGAGCAGTGTGAGGGGAGTGTTGCAAGGTTTCCAGGCAGTATGGTGGGGCTGGCAGCGAGCGGCATCAATTACCATCTAAGTGCAAAACGAGCAAACTGTTCATATTTTAGGAGAGAGCCAGCCGACCAATCGGCTTTCTTACCGATACTTCACTGGGCTTCCATGTGCAGAAACGTTTTTTGTAGATCATACAACTAGCATCCTCCATCATAAATGTTCTTGCATCGTGCAAGAAAACTGCACATTCTGTCATGATCAGATGTGACCCGGGGACACTGTTGTTTTTCTGCATGTAATGAAGATTAAGGGCTTAGATCCTCGGTAACGCTACACACAGTGTGTCAGTGCACCGTTGGCTAGACTGTGACTCACACCGCACACTGCAGGTCTCATGTGTAGTCTGCACTTAGCAGCATGCGTTAGAGCCGTTGACGACTAAACAGGCAACGCAAAACACATGTAGTTGTGGTCGGGCAGGAATCTATTACACTGGAAAGGAACAACACTGGCTGCCGCACACACACACAGAGTTGTAATGCCAGTAAGGCACTGGGCATGGCTCCTGATATCAAGGGATTACATTAAGATGACAGAACAGTGACTCAGGAATCATCTGGCTTCGATACACAAACCATCACACTGACATAAATCATACATTTTCGACCACCTCGAGAGTGGCAGCAGGGACAGAAGCTGAAGGAAGGAAGCAGGGAAGGGAAGATATTAGTAAGGGATTTATAGAAGAAATTATATAATTTGGCAAAAAAGGGTAGTAGAAAAGCAGCACAGAAGAAGGGAAATAGTTAGGGAGAGTCTAAAAGAGCAGGATGCAGTTTAGAGAGACGGTAAATCAGGTCCACTTTAATAGACTTTAACAGACCACAGAGCTTCCACCAAAGTCGACCGGCCCTGTAATTTAACCCGAAACAACAACTCTACCACAATTAGCAGAAACCAGAAAGAAGGAAGGGAGGATGTGCTCTATAAAAAAAACACAATAAATAGAGCTTGAGAGGGCCACGGTTGTCTTTTAGAAGCGCTCCCACGTTCAGACTGTGTGCGAGCAAGTCGTGCGTTTCAGACAGCTGTCAGTTCAGTGTGTCGGGCAGTAAGCCGGGGTTAAGACCCAGACTCTGGAGCTCCGCCAGACATGTGCATCCCTCTCTGACTCTACTGTAGCTAGTGTGTGTGTGTGTGTGTATCTGGAGGAAGGCCTTACAACACTGACAAAAATGTAGGCGATGGGAATCACAGCTTTCAAGTCTCCATCAAAAGAACTCTGACCCAGGAGTCACTCAGCATGTAGTTTGCAGGTGGGAACACACAGCTGATTGAGATCAGCTAATCAGACCCCTTTTCCACTTTTACAACTCGTTGTACTCCAAATTAAAACCAGCTGTGTCGTCTACCGTCCACTTTTCAACAATTCTTTTGATTTTTTTGTAAATAACCAATAAACAAACTTTCATCAACCACGCATGCTCGTTGGGGTGAATGGGTGAGGACTTATCAGACATTCAGGCGTCGGGCTGCTTTTCACTGGTGCTGAAACACTAAAACTCCCCGCTTTGTCCTCAGCCGAATGAATGAAATTAAGCTATAGCGGCCAGGGCTGCAAGTGAACCCCTTTACCCACCAAACACACACACACACACACACACACACACACAGGAAGTGGGGCAATGCAGCCAAACACAAATAGTGATTATGGGGGGCCTAGAAAGAATGTCCCTCCGCCTCCTTGTACCCTTCCCCCAAGCCCTGACACCCCTTCACTATTTCATTCATCCTTTTTTCGGGGGCTTAGCTGAGGGGAAAACTGATACATAACCCAACTATCTGCCCTTTAGAAGTAGATATTACAGCTTTGAGCTCTAGTTTATCAGTGTCCCTTCGGCTCTATTCAACAGTTAAGTTGCTCTCAAAGAAACAAGAAATATTGTAAGAACTCGTGTCATTACTTATATTTACGTTTTCAGGATTTAAATATGGGACAAACTCAGCCACAAGTAAAAGCCAACTGAATCACACAGATTCTTGAGTGTGTCTCCAGCTGAAAGCCTGTTTGTGTGTGTCTGCATGTGTGAGAGAGGATTTAGAGGTGAAAGGGGGGGTGAGGCAGTCGGGGGGGAAAAGAGTGTGGAGGTGCTCTGGTCTCAATAGGATGAAATAGAGGACAGGGTTTCTTTACACATGCCTACATATTTAATGTGTTGGCCTGGTGCTAGTTGATACTGTGGATGTGTTTTCTGTGTGGTAGGAGGTCAACAGCAGAACAACACTTTACTGTAAAATACACACATTGTATACGACAAGGTGGCCATCTCTTTCTTTCCAATTTTGAGCCACTGTTTCAACAATTGCTATCATTTGATAACCATTTTATAGGTGAAACATTGTTTTCTTGTTTTTTTTATTTAGGCATAAACACATTCACCAACCTTGTGAAGGTATTATCTTATTATATGAAACATGCATTTTTTTAACAACTTTTCTATGGAGCTTGGAGTCCTGCCAGCCTCAAAAATGAGGGTTAAACTAATGAATCAGTCTGCTGAAATCATGAGGCCAGTATCGGTCTAACTAAATAATGTCAACTATTGGCCTTCAAACGGCACTATGGTCTAAAATACCAGCAAAACACAGTGTTGGTTTGAGGCAAAGCCTGCAGACTGATTATCTCATCTGTCTCAGCATCTCACCCCACACACTTAAACAATAAATGAGTGAGTGCACACACTGTGTATATGTGTTTGGATTTGATTACAGCCAACACTCCTTTCCAGTGTAATTTGTAAAAACCCAATTTGTGAAACGCACTCTTGGTTAGGTCAGCACTGCGAGGTGAAAGAGAGGCAACGGCCCAATTAAGTCTCATGAAGGTGCAGTCCATTACACACACACACAAAGCGTCGTCTATGGCCGTCTCACTCACAACGCCTCCTCCTCTTCCTTTGCTCGAGTTCCTACAGGTTTTCATTGCTGACAACACATTGTCAGTTCAAAGATGGCAGCCAGCTGTTCTGTGCTGGTTATTGGCCGCCGGTGCTGGCCAAAGGTCAAAGTTCAAAGCCACAGGAAGCTGTGAGAGCTGTCTGATGTTCGCTCAAAACACACTCATGCACGCACGGGACCCCGGCTGAGGACTGTGCAAACAAAAACAAGCATGACATGGCTGGACGGAGGTGCATCAACACGCAGAAACAACCTCAGACACAGAGAAACAGACATATACACACAATGCAGGCATAACTTCTCAGCTAGATTCAAGCAGTTTGTTCAATAGATTTCTGTTTTAAATAATAATCCCAATATTTCGGGCTGCAGCGAAGCGCCATAGTAAATAAATTGTGATGTCGAGTGAGCTCAGCTATTGATCCTGCCTAATGCTTTGCCATTAAAAAAAAAAAAGTAGAGGATCGAGACATTCATAAGACGGACGTCCAGCAGTCAGGCGTCACTGAGACCTTCAGCCCCTCCATCTGCTGCTCTGGTATGCAACAAATGGAACGGACCGACTTGGAACGTAGACTTGAAGGCACTAGGTTGGAGAAACGAGGTTTGTGTGTGTGTGTGTGTGTGTGGGGAGGGTGTGGCAGCGGGGTTAAAAGTTGCTGCGTTGGTATCAAATGCCAGCAGAGAGATGGCCAGCTGCGTTGTGTGTATTTACATATAGAGAAGCGAGGGTTTGCCAGCCGCTCTGCAGCTGTGTGTGTGTGTGTGTGTGTGTGTGTGTGTGTGTGTGTGTGTGTGTGTGTACACATGCACTTGTGTGAGGGAATCTGAGCTCTATTATCTGGCATTATAGTCAGGGTTTACCAAAGTCCCATCTGTCACTGCTGTGGGGTATCTGACACACACACACACACACACACACACACACACACACACACACA